GCGAGGTCACTACTCTTGCGTCCTCCACCTCAGATGAGAGGAAGAGGGGGAAGAAGAGAAACAAACGGGCATAACCATGAATTTTCGGAGGTCCGCGCGGCTTTCTTGGATTTGCTCTGGGCCCCCCCCTGGCGGCGCCTCCGGCGCAGCTCAGATCCACCAAGAAATCCATGGTGACCTCTGATAGGGATAGTTATGTTGATGCAGTGCAGTTTTTGTCCTTACTCGAATTTCGCTTCAGAGGAAGAGGGAGCTTCGTTTCCTTCCGTTCGGCTGCGCGCCAGGCGGAGGAGAAGGCGAGGCGCGACGACGCAACCGATGATGTTCATTCACGCCTGCGTCGTATTATCACCCATCAGCCCGTCACTTAGGCCTGAGCGACTACGGACTTGCGCGATTTGCGCGAAGGGACACATCATGCACAATATCCTCTCGACAGGACCCGCTGAAGATGCATCTCCTTGTATATGCTGGTATGCACATGATGTAATATCGTCTGTAATTAGCCTGGCGAAGAACCCAACCATATGCAGTTGTCAGTACCGCAGCTGCGGGTTTCATCTTCAATGGAACTCCCCATAGGATTACGGAACGTGTGAGGGGTGTGCCGAGATGGGTGCCACTGGGGCATTCGGCGAAGCTCCCTATGGGGACATGAAACACGCGCGGGGCGTGCCGACATGGGTGGCGGAAACGCATGTGCGGGCCGCCACTGGGGCCTCCAGTGGAGCTCCCTATGGGTCCCCGAAACATGATGCTGCTGCGGGGGGGGGGCGGGATGGGTGGCGGAGACGCATGTAAGCGCCGCTACTGGGGCCTTCGGTGGAGCTCCCTATGGGGCCACGAAGCGCGTGAGGGGTGTACTGGGATGTGTGGCGGGGACGCATGTGAGCGCCGCCACTGGGGCCTTCGGTGCAGCTCTCTATGGGGCCACGAAACGTGTGAGGGGTGTGCCGAATTGGGTGCGGGTGGTGACGCATGCGGGCGGTGCCACTGGGGCCTTCGGTGGAGCTCCCTATGGGGCCACGAAACCTGTTGTTGTGAGGGGCGTGCCGGGATGGGTGGCGGGGACGCATGTGAGCGCGGCCGCTGGGCCTTCGGTGGAGCTCCCTATGGGGCCACGAACGTGTGAGGGGTGTGCCGAATTGGGTGGGTGTGGGTGACGCATGTGAGCGCCGCCACTGGGGCCTCCGGTGGTGGGGCCACGCTGTCAGGGATGTGCCGCTGCGGGACGCATGCGCATGTGAGCGCCGCCGGTGGAGCTCCCTATGGGGCCACGAAACGTGTGAGGGGTGTGCCGAAAATGGGTGTGGGTGACGCATGCGGGCGCGGCACTGGGGCCTTCGGTGGAGCTCCCTATGGGGCCACGAAACGTGTGAGGGGTGTGCCGAAATGGGTGTGGGTGACGCATGCGGGCGCGGGCACTGGGGCCTTCGGTGGAGCTCCCTATGGAGCCACGAAACGTGTGAGGGGTGTGCCGAAATGGGTGTGGGTGACGCATGCGGGCGCGGGCACTGGGGCCTTCGGTGGAGCTCCCTATGGAGCCACGAAACGTGTGAGGGGTGTGCCGAAATGGGTGTGGGTGACGCATGCGGGCGCGGGCACTGGGGCCTTCGGTGGAGCTCCCTATGGAGCCACGAAACGTGTGAGGGGTGTGCCGAAATGGGTGTGGGTGACGCATGCGGGCGCGGGCACTGGGGCCTTCGGTGGAGCTCCCTATGGAGCCACGAAACGTGTGAGGGGTGTGCCGAAATGGGTGTGGGTGACGCATGCGGGCGCGGGCACTGGGGCCTTCGGTGGAGCTCCCTATGGAGCCACGAACGTGTGAGGGGTGTGCCGAAATGGGTGTGGGTGACGCATGCGGGCGCGGGCACTGGGGCCTTCGGTGGAGCTCCCTATGGAGCCACGAAACGTGTGAGGGGTGTGCCGAAATGGGTGTGGGTGACGCATGCGGGCGCGGGCACTGGGGCCTTCGGTGGAGCTCCCTATGGAGCCACGAAACGTGTGAGGGGTGTGCCGAAATGGGTGTGGGTGACGCATGCGGGCGCGGGCACTGGGGCCTTCGGTGGAGCTCCCTATGGAGCCACGAAACGTGTGAGGGGTGTGCCGAAATGGGTGTGGGTGACGCATGCGGGCGCGGGCACTGGGGCCTTCGGTGGAGCTCCCTATGGAGCCACGAAACGTGTGAGGGGTGTGCCGAAATGGGTGTGGGTGACGCATGCGGCGCGGGCACTGGGGCCTTCGGTGGAGCTCCCTATGGAGCCACGAAACGTGTGAGGGGTGTGCCGAAATGGGTGTGGGTGACGCATGCGGGCGCGGGCACTGGGGCCTTCGGTGGAGCTCCCTATGGAGCCACGAAACGTGTGAGGGGTGTGCCGAAATGGGTGTGGGTGACGCATGCGGGCGCGGGCACTAGGGCCTTCGGTGGAGCTCCCTATGGAGCCACGAAACGTGTGAGGGGTGTGCCGAATTGGGTGTGGGTGACGCATGCGGGCGCGGGCACTGGGGCCTTCGGTGGAGCTCCCTATGGGGCCACGAAACGGTGTACTGGGTGGGTGAAGAGGAGAGGAGGAGAGGAGAGGAGGAGAGGAGAGGAGAGGAGAGAAGAGGAGAGGAGAGGAGAGGAATTATGATGATACTGATGATGATAATGATGATGATGACGATGATGATGATGATGATGATGACGATGAGGGTGATAGGAGGGGAGAGGAGGCGGAGGAGGAGAGGAGGAAGGAGACGCGGGGCACCGTCTCTTCAAAACGAGGGCCCAACACCACAGGATGGTTGGGACAAAAACAGGTCATCAAACGAAAGTATTTAGAAGCTAGTAAGAAAACATGATGAAGTGTCATACGTTGCGCCAGATGACGGCTTTCATCGCAGCTGCAATGCGGCTTGGAGCGAAAGCGTAAGACCTGGCGAGAGTTAATGAAGGATTTGGCGAATATGAGTGTCTGGGAGGCAAGTGTCGACAAGCGCCGTCGGATATCTGCTCCTGATGAAGGAAACATGCATTCAGACCTGCACGCAAGCAATGAATGAGGGTCCCCGCGATAGCGTGATCACGAATCACGTGGGTCTTCGACCTTCCGATCAATGCCAGGAGAGCCGAGTAAGAGCAGAAGTGGGACCGCGTTTTTCCTAGAGAACAGAGGTGACCGTGCGATAGCGCGTCCTGGTGATGCATGGACAGTTCCAGAGGCGCATGTCACAAAGTACGGCGCCGACCTCTCGGGCTGGGGCCTGGCGCGGACCGATTATCCCAATTCGCATTTTGAAACAGGTGCGGGCGATGAGGGGATCGAGGGTCGATTCCACGTCGTAAATGCTGATCACTGGATATTCATTTACGTGGGCGAAAATGACGATGTAGAGGTCTATCCGCAGTCTTTTGTCCAACGCAGTTTTTGTCCAACGCAATGATGGTCAACTCGAGTGCGATGGCTTTGACCTTCAGCGTGTTCGGACACCGAGAGATTACTCCTGATCCCTTGCCGAGTCTGCTTGCCGACTTAATCGAATTCGGGCAGCCCGCCGCCATCGACTGCACAAGGGGCGGTCTTTCGATGGGGGGTTCTGAGCATTCGAGGAGAACGAGAGAGGGCGACGCGGCTCATGAAATCGCAGGAGCGGCAAAGAAACGCCGACCAGTGCCGTCGCAGTCGCCAGAGTCTGAGAACGATCAACCGTGGGTCACTCGTGCCCGTAGAGACCCGTTCGGCCAGATCGTGACAGAGAGCCATCGAGAGATCTTGCGACTATTCTGGTCAGAAAACTATGGCCGAAGAGGGGCCTCTCGGACACTTCGCGGAAGAGCTCTGAGATGGCCGTGTCGTCTCGAACCCAGAGCGATCAGTATGATGCGAAGCGTATTAGGTCAAGACCGCGTGAGCCCGCTAGGCCGAGTGTCTCGTGCGTAAGTACGGTTTCCATGCAGGGCGCTTGCGGGCAGCCCGCGCCTCGATGCGAGAGTGCGTTCCAATTTCGGTGCCCTGGCCAGTCGCGGGGCTGGTGCGTGCCCGCGTGTCGGTGGTGCTCGCGCGCGTGTCAGGGGCGCAGTGTGAATTTTCTGTGCGGTGGGTGTGATCTCCTGGCCAATCGCAATTGCATTGCGTTGCGGTGCTCGGCGTGGCAGGTCGTTCAACAACTGGGTGCCCGGGCTGCATTTCTGAGGGTGGGGGAAAACTGCGAAATCAGCGAGTCAGTTGGGCGTGACCAGCGCCGGGACAGCAGGGAAGGCTCGCATGCGAGCCCGGCAAGGAGGTCGCCGAAACCAGGAGATGGAAATGCGTTTCCGTCCGTTCGGGCGGCCGTTGAGCTCGCCGGCTACGTGGGCCCCATCCAGATTTTGCGGCTGCGCGCTAGGCGGATGAGACGGCGAGGCGAGACAATGCAGTCGATGACATTCAGTCACTTTTGCGTCGTATTATCACCCATCCGCCCGCCGCTGCGGGCGTTGGGCTCGAGCTTTTTTTACCCTTCAAAGGAGGGGGTGGGCGTGGGCGACTGCAGAGTTGGGCGATTTGCGCGAAGAGGCACATCTTGCGCAATATCCTGTCGACGAGACCCCCTGGAGATGCGCCCCCTGATGTGGGCTGGCATGCAGGCGATGTATAACGTCGGACCCCGAACCTGTTACTAAACGAAAGCTCTGGGAGAACTGACAGAAAATTGCGCCAGATGGCGGCTTTCATCGCGGCTGCAATGCGGCTGGCGGCGCATGCGCAAGGCCTGGCGAGAATTTGCAAGAAAGCTTGCGAATCTGAGCTTCTGGGCGGCAAGAGTCCACGCGCCCCGTCGGAGATCTGCTCCTGAGGAAGAAAGAGGAGACTCACACCTGCGCCCGAGCAGTGAACGAGGGCCCCCGCGACGGCGTGACCGCGGATCACGTGGGTCTTCGAACTTCCGATCAGTGCCCGGAGAGCCGAGTAAGAGCAGAAGTGGGGCCGCGTCTTCCTTAGAGGACAGATGAGATAATTCGATGGCGCGTCCTGGTG